CCTTGATAACCGTCCAGACTTGGCTTCTTCACCCATTTCTAAACTTGTACAGATGTTTACCGGCCTGTGTATTTAACTGCTTCCCCAAAAGACTTTACCATTGCAATAAAAATGCTTTATCAGATGAAACTCCCTTGGGCTCAAGGATGCAGATTTTTTCACAAGTTTGCCTACTTTTATATTCCTCGCTAATTCACCCCAGTCAACTGAACTGGGAGGGTGGGGAAAGCTCCCATTTTAAAATAAAGATACACAAATCAATTACTGGGCTGCCCCAGATTCCAGTAACTGAAAATTTATACAACAGATATTTAAATCCATTATATTCACAGGAAATGATTATTTTTACTCAAAAGTATGGACAATGACTAGTAATTAATTCAAATGAGCCATTTGAGCTATTTGGCAAGGAGAACCCAACTCACTTTAAGTTTCAAAAGTGAATTAAAAGTTGATCATTTAAGTTACATTGAATTTAAAACCTCAACTGACCATATCCTGAGCTGACCAAATAAATGAAATAGTTTGGAAAAGGGAGCTGGGTAAACAGAACTTCAAAAATAGATCAAAAGGAGCCAATATTAGGTTTGTTTTTGTTAAATTGAAAGCCTCATTCAATAACAGGAAACAATTATGCAAGTGAATTCTCATAGTCTCTCAGCAGAAGAGAGAGCTCAGGCACAGTACACTTTGCAAACTAAGTTGAATTTTGCTTAAATGTTAGATACTGCTGGCAACTTTATTGATAAGAATAAGAAAATACTATTGGAAATTACTATCCTCAGATATTCAATTACCCTACATACCAAAAAGACTAAATGCTCCTCACACCTTCAATAAACTCTACTTGCACTCCCCTAGAAAACCCAACTAGATGAATTTGGTGCTTTGTCTTCAAAAGGCTGGTAGCAAGTAAATGCCACTCCTGGCTGGGGTTTCACAAGGAATCACTCTATAAGAAAGATTCTCATAAATGTAGGTAGCCAAATCTGCTAAGTTTACTTAGTAATAAAACTTATGTTTTGTTTTACTTTACACTATAACCACTTTTAATTATTCTCTGCTGGATTCTTTAATATATGTTTGAACTGGAATTTGGAGTGAATTTAGACTTTTTGCATAGACTAAAGTAGGGGTCCTCATACTTTTTAAACAGGGGGCCAGTTCACGGTCCCTCAGAATGTTGGGGGGCTGGACTATAGTTTGAGGAGAGGAGGAGAGCTGCTGGACCCGGTATACCTGTCATGTAGAATAGTCTGCTCTGCGATCTCCCTCCTCGTGCATCGCCTGCAGCTCCCGACATAGCCCCGACACTTCCGCTTCTGACAGACAGCAGCGGCGGCAATCAGGCGGGCGGGCCGGATAAATGACCCTGGCGGGCCGTATCTGGCCTGCGGGCCATACTTTGAGAACCCCTGGACTAAAGGATTAAAAAGGAAATGTCTGGAAAAAGAGCTTCTTTCCTCTCTAGCATTCCCAGGTGTTCAGTCTAAGTTTAGTAGTTGCAAATCACACGGCATTCCTATTATGGTATGCAGAATACCTATTTTGGTAATATAAAGAAAATTCCATTATTTCTTATTTTTAAAAAAATCAATATTGCATGTAATCTGCATTTACTTCTATATTCCAATGGCTAATGCATATGTACCCAGAAAGAGTAAGATCTGGATACTGACTCTAGGTAGCATAGCCTCTTTATAGCACCTATTTCTGAAGATACATATACCCATACTGTGTATAGATATAATCAAAACTTATGAAATCAGCAGAGAGAAAATAAAGGACAACCATTCATAAAATAAAATAGAAGAAAATATATGATCAGGACTGTAATGTGAGTTGTAATTAAATGGAAAAAATGAGGAAGGTAAACACAATTAAGGAAAATGGTAGCAAGAAGCCAAATTTCTTTAACGGATCTGCTAGTTTATTCTTCATTTATTAACACATTCTTATCTTGACTTTCTGGATATAGTTCTCCAAAATTTTAAAAATAATAAAAATCACAGGGTAATCGCCTCACCAGATATTTTGAATAACCAGGTTTTAGTACTAACAGGTTAATTCTGAGATCAGAAAGGTTCACGTTTCCTTGGTTTCCACCAGTCTCCAAAAATTTTAAAAATAATAAAAATCACAGGGTAATCGCCTCACCAGATATTTTGAATAACCAGGTTTTAGTACTAACAGGTTAATTCTGAGATCAGAAAGGTTCACGTTTCCTTGGTTTCCACCAGTCTCCAAAAATTTTAAAAATAATAAAAATCACAGGGTAATCGCCTCACCAGATATTTTGAATAACCAGGTTTTAGTACTAACAGGTTAATTCTGAGATCAGAAAGGTTCACGTTTCCTTGGTTTCCACCAGTCTCCAAAAATTTTAAAAATAATAAAAATCACAGGGTAATCGCCTCACCAGATATTTTGAATAACCAGGTTTTAGTACTAACAGGTTAATTCTGAGATCAGAAAGGTTCACGTTTCCTTGGTTTCCACCAGTCTCCAAAATCCCCAACCACTTCCTTATTGGTGCCAAGAAAACTACATAGTTGTGTAGTTACCTAGAGCTGAGACAGTCTAAAGGGAGACTTAACTCAATTTTTACACTGCTACAAACTGAGAAAAAGAATATAAAATGAGACTAACAGTGGAAACTTTTATATGTTATTATTATTTAGAACTCATGTAAGATTTCTAATTATTGTTCTTTGATTTATGACATTTCCTCTATTGGCACAAACAAACTCTGAGCACTAGAGCAGACATGAATAATTGTGCTAGTTAAAACTGAATAGCCACATCTGTCCCATTTTTATTGCAATGATGTCACAGCACTTATTAAATAGAAAATAAACGGTATCTTTTCAAATTAATAAGTACTTTAAGGACAGACAAATAATACAGTTATTCAAAATACTTCTTGGTGTATACATCATCAATCCTTTAAAAATAAAGCAGAAATCTTAATGCTTATAGATAACACTAAGGCTGGCATAAAACACAATTGATTTAACTACACTCAAAATATTTTTAAACTACTTGCCATTGTATGAAAATAACCCTATGCATATATTTTTATATTGCATTTTTGTCCTAACAAGGATTGCATTTTTGTCCTAACAAGGATCTCCAGTATCATAATGCCAAAAAAAAAAAAA